AGCAGGTGAATGGGGCGGAGCCTCTGAGGTTGTTTGGATGCCATCATAAGGGTCCAATGAGCTTGAGACAAAGGTAGAAGGTTCAGCCAATCAAATTAGAGCTGTTTAACCAGCAGAAGTGGGCAGTACCAAGTTACGATTACTTAAAGGTTTTATTTGATGAATAATTTTTTTAGAAACTTCCATGGAAAGTTTGGAGCTGTGCAGAGTAAAAGTATACTATAAATATCATTGATATTTGTAAATATCATATTAATATATAAATATTTACTTCTGGTTATGATGCAGAGACGGGAGATGATACTAGGAGACGTAGTTTGAAGTCACATGAGACAGAAATCAGTCATAGCCAGGTCCTCAATCAGAGCACTGAGAAACGCATCTTCAACAAGCAGCAAAACTACAGTGAACACTGGTGAACATTGGTGCTGAACATTCAGCAAGGTTTTGACCAATGGTTGTGACTCAGCAAAGCAAAGGAGTTCAGAGGCTATCCAAATGTTGCTGCCTTTTTTCTGAATTACTAAACTTAAATTTGGTTAGCATTAGCTGAGCAGGCGAGCTTCAGGGCGCCACTTACTGGCTGGGAGGAGTTACACTCATCGCCTCTAAAGGAGAACGTGCACACAAGATTTAAATTTCATTCATTGCCTTGAAAGCTTACTTATCCAGAGTTAATTGTTCCAGGAACGTTCTGTAACCTTTGTGCAATAAAGAGCTTACCTCTACTTGCATGGATCTGTCTGCTAGCTGCAACTTTTTTCTTCCTTTCTGTGGCAAACCCACTTTAAAAATATTACCGCAAACTTAAGGGCTACTTTGGGAAATGTTCTCTTTTTTTTAATGTAATGTGACCAACTTGTGTTCCTCTGGATTTTGAAAATTGCATTTTGTAAAATTGCGATTATATTGCAAATGCAATTAATTTCCCAGCCCTAATTAACAGTTAGCGTTACCATTGTTTCCTGGTCTTATACAGAATAGGTAAAAAGTTACAGAACCAATAGGAATAGATGTAGTGATAGCATGGTGGGCTAAAGTTAGCTCTCCTCTAGAATTGATGTTAATCTGGAGGAGGACGAAAGCTATGTGGAGAGCGCCACCTGATAGGCATTTCTGGTTTAAACAAAAAACACAAATACCCCATTTACACTACCCTTGAAAAACCGATCCATGCCGAGACGGGTCCGAGCTCGGATCAGTTAATCAGGCCGAGCTCAGTTCGGTCCGGTTGTCTCTAGCTCGGTCCAGTTCAGTTTGCTTTTCATTTACACACGATAAGTTATCTCAGATACTGAGCTCGGACTGGTTTCGGCACGGTTTTTCAAGGGTAATGTAAATGGGGTAAAAAAAACAATCCACTTTCTCACTCTGGATTTTAACTGAAGCCTTACACCAACACCTTTAAGTAACTTCTTAAACAAAATCTAATTTCAGGAGTAGATTTACTGCAACACATACACACACAGATGTACAATTTAAGTAAAAGTTTGGCTTCCTGTACTCATGCTTTGTTGTTTTGCTGAGCTCATTAGGTCTGTTTCAGCTAACATTTAGTTTTCTCATTGGCTGAAATTAGCAATTCTTCAACATAGACTGAAGGTTTGCTGCACAGAATCCTCTCCTCAACCTCAGAGATCCCCTTTAGGATGAACCAGTGGAGATTAATTCTTTAATTGCTTTTTTTGTTTTGTTTCCATCCAATGATGAGCCCTGCAGTGCATGTCTACAGAATATTTAAAGTTGTTTTGCTGGGAGTCTGGATCCATCAACTAATTATACTCCTTAGATGAGGAGTAGGATGTCATCAAATTCCATACACATGTATGAACCGATGACCAAATACTTCTGTCTGTACTGTAAATACATTCACTGCTGGGAGTAGAGCTGGACCGAAACATCAGCTGCTGTTTGTTTTCCTTGTATCGGCATCAGGCAATACCCACACATATTCACTGATTCATCAGTGTATTCAGCATCCATGGCTTGACATCATATAATGAGGTTGTTTTTCCACCTTCTCCATTTACTATCTGTTGGTAATGTTTAATAATTTTTCTTAATTGATGTTTTTTGTTTGTTTAAATTAAAATTTCTGTAAAGATTGTTATCGTTTTGTTATTTGGAGAAATAAATAATCGGTACTGGCCTTAAACTAATATCAGCCGAATACTTGCATATCTGTAAGTATTGGTTTATTAAATTTGGAAGAAAAAAAAAACTTATATTAAGAAACTTACTTTGCATTCATTAATTTTATTATATTTATATTACATTTAATTTTACTGTTTAAAATGTTTTATTAAATAGCTTCTAAATATTAATTAATAGTCAAGTAGCTTTTTTACAAATGCTTTTTACACTTATTAGAGTAATTTCTTGGTTGGTTAAATCTAACTTTTACTTCAGTAAATATAGGCTGTAGTAGAGGATACTCCAACAATTTAACCGAGGCTCCACTGCCTCGGTTAAATTGTTACATTTGGTTTAGTTTAACGAAAATCCCTTAAAGGAAAAAAGTTTCCTGGTTCTGATCAGTAACCAGGCTGTAATCTGATTGGCTCAGAGGGAGCGGACCTGTGCAGTGATATCAGCAGTCACACCCTGAGCAGATCTGCTCTCTGATTGGACAGCTTATAAACTGCTCTCTGCCCTCCATCAGTTACAGATAAAGTCAGTGTGGTTACTTCAGTGACCCACTTAACATAGGAATTTCCATAACTCTTCAGTTTTCCTTCTTTTTTTTTAAGTCTGAGTATTTCCTTTTCCAGATGTAAATATGTTCCAAGGAACACATGGAGCGTTTTAACTCCCAGCTTTCAGGTTCTACTGATCCCACATGTTGTACTTGGACCTTGTTTCTTAGCTTCTGACATGTTTTATCTGCAGAGTGGCTGTGATCCTGTCAGTGACTGAGCTGCTCATGTTCCAGTTGTAATAAGGATCATATCAGAACCGGCCCATTCGCAGCCTCCTCCCCCCGCTCTGCCAGGTGTGGCTCCGCCCCAGGGTCACGTGAGCCGCTCTGAGAGCCTTCTCTCTCCCTCTGCTCGTCCATCTGTATTCAGCCGCTGCTCTCTCTGACGTGCAGCCTATACAATAAACAATCTGCAGCCAAATTAAGGTAATGGCAATAAGCTGCGTGGAGCTTCATACTCTAAGTGCTGCGAAGGTCAGAGCGGCGTGCGGAGGCGTGGGCGGAGCTGCGGTATTTATCCCCTGCCTCCTGCGGATCTATCAGCCTTTAATATCTGGTGTCCTGGGCTGAGTAACGGCCTTGTCCCGGCTGTATTGATGAAATGGCTCGCGATCCTGCTCCGTCAGCCCGGCCCAAATAAGCTGCAGACTGATAAGTTTCCACAATGTGAGTGTAAAGGTCATTAATACATTACCTGTACGGAGGAAGAGCCTGCAGAGGAATCTATTGATTTTCCTTTCTCCAGCTCTCTCCTCCCACTTACCTCCGGCCCTCAGCCTCATTTTTAACTCCCCGTCTTTTGTGGACCGCGTCCTTGCATGCGTCTCTTCATCCTGATGCAGCTCAGCACATTACTTCCTTCAAACAAGCCTGGTTTCATACGTCTGACCAGAAACAATCAGGTGATGGAAGAAAGCCTTCCATTCTCAACAGGTGGAAAAAAATACAACCTCATGTGATTCATTGCAAGACTGGAAAGGATGTTGGACTGGATCCAGATGAACTCAACATCTATCATCCATCCGTCCATCCATCCATTTATTATCCATCCATCTGTCTGTCCGTCCATCCATCCATTTATTATCCATCCATCTGTCTGTCCGTCCATCCATCCATTTATTATCCATCCA